CATTACGACTACAGAAAAAAATAAGGAAATTAAAAAGAACTCCAGTAAGTTTTATTTAGCTGTTGTTTTGTAATGGTCTTGTGACCCACTGGATTTTTTTTTTATTTAATTTTTTTTGCAAAATTTGCTTCTCATGTTCAAATACATACTTGAACAGTTTGTATAATATTTATGTTAGTTTAATTGTCAGTTTATTAATTTAATAGCACAAGGGAAAATACATTATAGTTGCTGAAAGAAAACTGAAGTAGTCCTGTAATCTTCATTAGTGGGTAACCAAATCAGTGAAGATATGACATCATGACGTCTTTAGTCAGTTCAGTGTAAAGCAGTGTAGGCCTAACGTTACACAGCGGAGTCATACTCTAAATAACTGTAAGAACTTGGTAACAATACACTTTTGTAGATAAAAAGGCCTTTACTGTACATTACTGTAGTGTAAAAGTGTAATATACACATCTTAAACAGTTACTGTTTTAATTGGCAACAGATGACTAGACAAAATATCAAGTTCTCATCATTATCAGCGCGTCGCTCGCGCGCAGTCCTTTGACAGCTATGTTGATTATAACAGGAGCAGTTTAATATGTCGCCTCGTGTGCAGTTGTTGTGTTGTGTTTAGTCTGAGTCTCTCTGTGTGTGTGTGTTCCTCAAACCTGAACAGGTCGAGCTGATTGACCATCATCGTCGCCTCCTCCAGCTGCATGATACCGCGCTTCACTTTCACCTGCACTGCATTTGAGCTGCTCGGCTCGTTTGTGGTGTCCACCTCTTCATACAGCTTCCAGCTCCGGTCCAGTAAATCCGACAGTTTCGGAGCCTCTGAACCGCTGGGGTTTTGTGTAGTGTTGGTGTCTTCAGCGGCCGCCATTTCTCAAAGTTGATTTAAGATCCAGCTCGGCTTCCGTTTGTTCCGGTTCTTAGATTCCGGTCGGTTCTCTGTGTTGCAGTTCTGACGTCTCACTGTAGATGTCAATAGAGATCATTGCACCAGTGCCCTTTACTACATTTCTGTAGCTTTAATGTCGCACTAAAGGTTTATTCAATCTTTTAAGACAACAAACAGGCATTATCATCATCATTGAAACAGAAGTAGGTAAGCAAACAAAGAAACAAATAAATACTTTAAATAATACATACCGACATATATAAAATTAAAATAGAATATAAATTAAAATATAATTAAACGTAATCAATATATTATGAAAGTAATTTAGAGCGTTTTAAAGCATTCATTTTTTTTTAGCTGCTTTAAGGATTAAAATAAAACAAATGTAAATAATTTTTAAATGCCACAAAACTTAGAGTAACAAATATATATTTGTGTAAATAAACCTAAAATTAAAATATTTTTACACAAAAAATCAATCACTTCGTTTTGCATAAAAACACAACTTAACAATGTGATATCTTTGTAGCTAATTCCTACTCAAAGATTGTGTCCCAAACATTAACAAAATCACAATTGCAGAAGAGATGTTCCCAAGTTCTTTTTGACTAAATGTACAAACATTACTATCTTAATTAAAAATTACTCCTAAAAATTCACTACAAATGAATTATCACTATAATTGTTTTGAAGTAAACTTCCTTCATTTTAAGTAACGAAGGAAATTAGTAATATGTAATACTTTTAAAAACCTTTTAAAATAAAACATCTATTTTAACAGGAAAACGTTATTTTGTGATTTTGGGAAAGAAAAAGAAAAAAACCTTTGTCATTACTTTTACCATATAAGAAATTAAACTGTAAATGAACATTTAAAAAAAAAGTTAAACAATTTCCCTCATCTGAAGGTTAAATTGCCATTAAACACTTACAGTTTAACTGTTCTAAGCTGTTGCATCTCTAAGCGTGTACTTGAGTGTATCAGTGTGCATACTATCCTGCTCTTATTATAGCATTCACAAATGTAAAGCATGTATATATTTACAAATATTTTAAATACCAGGACAGCGTATGCTTAATGGCCAATGCTTTTTTCTTTCTTTCTTTTTTTTTTTTTTAAGAATTATGCTTAAAACAAGAAATAATAATTTGGGAATTGCCCTAATGTCTTAAACAAAAATAAAGTGATACTGTCTTTCAAAATTAGCCTTTTTTACAGTGCAAAACTACTTTCCCACCTTGAATTTCTGTCTCTTGCCCTACCCTGGACAGTATTGTCATGGTATGAGTTCCCACACCATGCGTACATATTTTTGCCTTTGTTATTATTTATAATTTACCAGAAGCCTAACTTTACACAGTGATAATATTCAGAGAAAACTTTCCTCTCAGTTTGCACATAAAACTGATTTTCATGCAAAACTCCTGCTCTTTTTCTGTCAACATGACCATTCTGAACCATATCTTTAAAAATCCAAAGTAGGAACAGCAAGAACCTTAAAAAAAAAAACAGATCTCCCACAGGTCTACTCAGTTTTCATTTTAAAAAGCTTTACACCCAGTATAAACAAAGATCTGTGACAGCATTAGCATTCAGAAACCACTTGTCTCAGTGGTCTCGGTCACTTAATGCGTTACTGTGTGCTGGATTATTTGTTTGCGTGAGTGTATGAAGGCAGCTTCATACACGTTTGGCTGATATTAATGATTTTGCCTGCAGTAAATGAGGCTGGGATTGTTTAACCGAATCATTCATACTGTGTAGGACAAATAAACTTCATGAAGTAACATAGTCCAGGGCTGCTTTAACACCAAAGACTGAGCCTTTGTTAGGACAAAGCGGAAACTCAACTCATTTTCCCATGGTGTTGTATCACTGAACCTCTGGCATGATCAGCTGTTGAGAAACCATGACACATTAGAGCTGTTACTGTGATAGATGAGAACTCTCTCTAGGCTAAAGCAAACGTGTTTATACAGTTCACTGATCCGGATCCAGTCTTTTCTTAATCTGATGTTTAACCACACATTCAAGTTTCTGTCTGCAGCTAAAGGCCGTTGAGCAGGTGTGAGATCATGTCTATTCTCTTATTAAAGATACAATTTTTTAATCAGTTTAATGGGCTCTGAGGTTATTTTGTTTTTCTGGCCACGAAAGGAAAATTCCCCTCATAGTAGCGGACTAACCCTAACCCAGTCATGACCTTAAACCCTGATCTCTACCCTTGGAACATGCAACATACATCAACTGTCACCCTATAGAATAACAGCCGGCATAGACAAACCACATTCAAATAAACACCAGGAGACCCCATGAGCTGAAGAGAACTGAAAAACAGCATACATACAGACATTTCCACCCAGTTTTCCTACACGTTGTGAAGATTAATCGATTTTTTGGTTCTATTTTTTTCATGCCAGGCTGTCGATTCTTCACATATTTGGAGTAACTTGCAGATCTATTCTCAGTATGTGTGTGTGTCCAGCTATGTTGTGAGATTTACACCCTTTTGTGCCCTTTGCTTTGTCATTTGCAATATGGGGGGCAGAACTGACAGGTGCCACACACACACTCAAATATACAGTCCCCAGAGCTCAAACGGAAACCTCTACAGGTCAGATAGCAAATGGACTAGATGTTCCTGCCTTGAGGAGAAGGGCTTAATAAAGGAGCTAAACCTTTGAATTAAAACCAAAAAGCTGAAAGGTTTTTGAAAGGGGAAGGTTTATGGTCTAGGTCAATATAAAAATAGCAAAACGCATTGACAATGTTATAAAAAGATTTTGTCTGTGTGTGTAGCTCAGGCTGATAGCAAAAACCAAATCCACCTACATTATGAAGACCTGCCCAAGGTCACCATAAGGAAATGATTTAGCATTATCATGTAATCTCATATCATGTCATCATCTCAGTATAAAAACTGTAATGAGAAGTCAATGTAAAGTTCCCACTGTGACAGAAAAACAAATGTGTGTGTGCGTGTGAAAAAGTGGTTTGGATGAGTCTGTCAGCAGAGATCGGTGGGATTGTCCTGCATCTGTTTTCACAAACAGTCACTCAGCAAACAGTCAATAACTAATAAACTCTTCCTCAGACTGTGTGTGTAAATACTCATTGTGTGGGAGTGTGGTGTTATGCTCTCAGTAAACAATACACGGGACCCGGTTAAATGAAGAGCCGCATTCCAGAGATTCACACCAGGTGCACAGTCAACAGAGAAGAAGGGAGAATAATCTTATGTTGGAAAAACAGATCAATATTTTTAGACAGAGAAAGAAACGCCATTACACTCCTTCATTCTTGAGATATCTCAAGCATCTCACACACCTTTTTCCTGTCTATTGCTTCCTGTGGCTGATAAAATCCTTGTGATTAAAGTCTCGGATTGACTTCAGATAAACTTTTGTAAAGGGAAAATAACTGCTGTGCTAATACTTTAGCAACATCACCCAACATTCTTCTCTGCCAATGTATTTTTTATATCAATAAGCATCTTTGATATCAAATTTAAAGACTGTAAGCTGTTGAGCAAAGCTAAACCCCCTCCAAGGCTCAGCTTGGTCCTGTAAAGAGCCCAGAAGTCTGTGTGTGCCTTTGTCTTGCTGTAACAATGCAGAGATAAAAATCAGGCAAATCGAAGGACAAAAGGAAATGCAGAATAGGTCAGCCCTTTGTCTCTTTCTCTCATTGCTTCTGTTGAATGCTTACTATCTGGGTTTTTAATCTCTCTATAGCACTGATATCCTGAAAATGTCTTTGATGTAGAAGAATGTTGATGAGAGAACAGAGAAAACATGCTCACGTTCACATGCAGAACTGCTATAAAATGCTGTTCAGATTCTGACCAACATACATCTTCTCAAAACTGCTTTAGACTGACTATAAGCAAGACTTATAGTTGGAGAAATGTCTCTGTGTTTATTGTACATACAGTGGAAGTCGATGGGCACAAATACTGTTTAGTTACCAACATTCTTCAAAGTATCTTTTTTTATGTTCTGCAAAAGGTTTGGAACGCCATGAGAGTGAGTAAATAATGACAAGTTTTCATTTTTGGGCCAACTATCCCTTTAACTATTACAAGATGAAAAATTACAAATTAGTCTCTTTCACATTAAATATTTTTAATAAAATAAATACAAATTTTCATTTTTACAGAAAATGTACAAGTTTTCCCAGGGTGAAAGGCACGGCCTTAATCTTTCTTTTCATGAATACAATGGTGTCAATACTGAGCACATATAACTTCTGAAGTCACCCAAACTAAACGGTTTGATTCAATCTCTTACTGCTGTGTAACCTATGAAATTTATCTGACCAAAACAGATCTGAATAGATCAGCAATGTGTAAAGTATTACCGCAGTAAAGTAACTCTTTACCAGTACAGTTCTACCCTCCCCCCATGTCTCCTTCTCTGTGCTGGAGTTGATGAGTTTTGCTGTGAGCAGCCACTACTTATCACTCTGCTTTTCTGCGGGGTGCCTTGAGGGCCTCACCACAGGGTTCTTTGTTTACAGCCGTTCATTAACTCTTTCACCATCCCGTATTCCTCAACTCCGGTTCTTCTTTCTTCACTTTCATGCCATCCTTACAGCACTCCGAGCGGATTATCCACTCACATATGGCTCTAGAAAGATCATACACATTCACCCAGCACTGCACCGTGCCTCCTCCTCTCTGTCGATGAAGACAGTCAATAAGGTGGTTTGTCACTTGCAGACGTATCTCTCAACAGTGCGATGGCAGGTTTTGCAGGACACGTAACAGCACCAGTGATATTTACACTGGCAGCGCTCCACCAGCACCTCCGTATAGGCATTATACCCTCGTCCACAACACATGAGTCCACAGCTCTCACTGCCGGTCGCAGTCTTGTTACACTGCCTGCAGAGACGATACAGAGCAAATTATTCATAATACTGGCGAATAACTCAAACAGCAGCAGCATAGGAGCGTGTTTGCATTGTGAGAATCAGTTTTTGTGTCTGTGTGCGTGATGTTTAACCAATTGTATTCATGTGCCTCTTTTCTTTACTTTGTGCTCTGTCCCATCTGTCAGATCCGTGATAGTCCCTCATTCATTACAGTGACTGAGAACTGATTGCTCTCTCAACTCATCAGTAATCAATCATCCTGACTGATGATGCGTATCTCACCTGTCTGTGGTTCCGAATGACCCCTGCTTGGCGTTCTGTGAGCAGTAATCGGGCGAGCTGACCAGATAAACAAGTTCAGTCTCTCCGACGGGCCTGACCTCCATCTCACGGGGGACTAGCTGTCGGCGGGTGCCAATCTGGCGTGGAATGACCTTGGTGGCCGACAGGTATTTGGACTTGAGGTCGGCTGAGATGCTCTTGATGTCTTGAAGGCCCTTCCAGCAGGTCTTCACAGAGCAGGAGCCAGAAACACCGTGACATTTGCACTTCATCTCTAGAGCATCCATGAGTGCCTACACAAAAACAACAAAACGAATGAAACAAAGTTTATTTGTACAGAACTTTTCACCATAGTTTCAAAGCTGCTTCAAAGAAAATGCATGTTTCCGTCCGTGTTACAATCAGAAAGTATTCCGTTATTAGATGAGTGTGTCAATGTAATTGATCAATTAAGCCAGTCTTTGATGGAAATTAAGCAAGCAGTTGAGCTTACCTGTCTTCCCACTGCATTGTTGTGAAGCTGCATGAGTCTAAATGCCTGTGGTCCTGACCGGCGGTTCCTCATGGGTGCATCTGAGAAAGCTGAGCCCATCTGCAGGCCGTAGCGAACATTATCTCCGCAGCCACCCCAGCGGAAGTCTGGGGCCGCCTGCTCTGAGGGCGCTGGTGCACAGGAACAGCTGGGGAGCTCTCCAGAAGCACATGCACGGGCGATGGCATGACTGACCACTGCAGCGGCCAGAGAGAACACAAACGCTGCCTCACGGGTCCCTGCACAGAGATGCCATCGTTAGATCACCTATGCAAACTGAACTTAGCATATGGTGTGGAGTTTTCACTTTTATATTACTCTTTAAAAAAGGAATAATTTAGTGTTTTTTACTATAGCTAATACTTATATTCTAAAAATAGAGTGGCTGTTAGTCAGTACAATGCTGCTATAAATACAGTTCAATCATTTCAATACAGAATTATTTTAATAAATATTTATTTACTGAGCAGCATGTGGCTAACTGGCAACATGTACAAGGACAGACTATTACAAGTTGCCCATATAGGCAGTGTTGCCAACTGCTTTCAATTGAAAGTAGCTAAAACTGGTAGCCAAATGTCACTAGATGACATCACAATGGCAAATTCACTGATCTATATAAAGATGAACGTATATCAGTGGGCAAGATGAGAACTTCGATAAGGTTTGTCCAAGAAGTTGCTATATTTGTCCCTAAACTTTTGAAAAAAAGTCTCAAAAGGGGCGGGGAAGTCGCTAAATCTAGCTACAAAGTAGCTAAATTGGCAACACTGCATATAGGTATTCACCTTTAGCCAGATCAGGGGTGAAGTGAGGGGCGCTCTCGATGGTCGAGCAGTTCCAGCGCATGTCGCTGAAGGAGCTCTGGCACGCGCTCTTGGTGAGTTTGGCCGCATGCACGATGCTGTGCATGAGCTCGAGGTTCCGTTTGCAGAGTTGATGCTGATCTGACACGAGTCCGTCCAGCAGTTTACAGTGATGTGTCTGATTCCACCCGACCGAGCTCCCGTTTACCGTTAGGCCGCTGCAAATACAAACACCCTAACTGAGCCAGTCTGCCGTAAATATCCAAAACATCATTTCATTTTTATTCAATAACGCTTAATTACAAACATGACTCGACATGTTTCCAACAAGGTAATCGACAAAAAAAATTGAATATAAAAGGAACTTTTCAATGAACCCGACATGAATGATTCATTCAGGAATCGAACTTGATCGGTTCTCGAATCAATGTGACATTCAAGACTACGAGCCTTTCTAAATCACCCAGAGCTGGAATAAATTAGCTGATTTTTTTTTATGAAATATCACTTCATTCATCCCATTTCCCTATATTGCTTAACGAATAAAATACTTACAGCCATGATATTCCTTTACATGATATCACGCTCAAAGACATGACGAAAAATAGAAGAAAATTCCCGTATGCTGTCATTTTGTTCATTTGTCGTTTGGAAATCCTAGTGAAGTCCGGTATGATGTTTTTCCCAGTGGCCAAGATGCACACCGAGCTACCTGAAGCCTACGCTGAAATGGGTCCGAGTCTCTCTCTTTCATAGTTCAGCTATGGGTCTCGACCCGCCCCTCCGCGCGTGGGCGGTCGCAAGATTCATTTTCAAGAAGCGCGCGGAGAGATATTAGGCTACCTACTACAGTCAATTGAGGGAAAACATACTGAAACATAACATACCCCATTGTCTGGTCACGCCAGTTAAGCAAACAGCAAAGATCACTAAAGTCTTGGTTATCAAGCAGATCAAAACGCAATTAGCCAGGTTTAGTGTGTCTTACTCTTGCCAGTCGAACGAGCAAACAATGTTTTTATATGACTTCTCATGAGAGACTTAATGGTTTGTTTGTTGTTATTTTCCTTTGCGCATGTAACGTTAGCCTGGTGAGCAAACAACGTTTTAACCGATTTGTCGAGGTTGAGTGTAAGAAAAGCCATTAGCAACAGACTCATCTGTAAAGCTCAGCTTTTCAGGGTGTGCGCCTTCCCAAAGGAAACAATTGGGCTTTAGTCTTTTGAAGATTTCTGTCTAAACGAGATCAACAACCCGTTCATTTACATCAAAATCAGTTTGATTCGGCTTTTCCCTGAAGATAAGCCGGATTTCTCGTTCCTCGAGCCTTACAAAAGCGCAAACATCTTAAAACAGCAGTAGCCACTGTAAAGTTAACCGGGCAAAAGCTGCCGAAGGCATTAAAAGTCAATGATCCATAATTATATTTTATTCTAAACAACATCCCAGAGTAACTTAAGTTACTACAGACCCTACAGTATTCAAAAGTTTCATATGGGCTCTTCGGTTTTAAGAAAAGCACAGTTGTACACTCTAGCACCGCTTGAAGTGAAATCTGCCTCAAATAGTGAATCATTCAATTTATTAAAAACTAAAATTTAAACATTTATGACATCTGTGGTATACATTCACACGATGTGGCTCGTTGGTCTAGGCCGGGGTATGATTCTCGCTTAGGGTGTGAGAGGTCCCGGGTTGAAATCCCGGACGAGCCCTAGTTTTCAGTTTTTCAAAACAATGTCTCAGTTGATTGTTTACTATTGAGTCAACACATATACAAACGCTAAATAGCGTCAGTGCATTAAAACTGTTCGATAAACACAAATCTGTTTTAATCGAAAGATCAACCGATGCTTATTCAGTCGAGCTGAATGTGCCTCAGTGGCGGAATGCAGCATGGCGCATGTGAATGGCGGAGCTGAGACAGTGCTAATCACTCTAGTCTGATCATCACATATGTGTGAATATTCACAGGCTTCAGAGCGGCCATACTCACCGAGACAATCAGAAATAACATCCTCACCTTTGCAGGCAGGCAGCTCGGCCACTCCACGGAAAGGCGAGAAAATCTTCTCTTTGATTCGACTCGTCCTTGAATACAATCCACTGAAATGTGTCGGTACAAACCAGAATAATGAATAGACTGCTTATTGATCTTGCAATGGGCCATCAGCGGATGAAACTGCAAACTGGAATTTTAATTTATGTGCATACGAGTGCATGAATTAGTCGGGATTAAGATCAAACAAACCAGTTCTCCTTTTTTTTTTAATGGAGCCAGAATAATACAAATACCTCCCGGGGCCGCTAATCCGATCAGCAGATCCTGCCATAATCAGAGGCCTAATCATCAGGTTTTATGAGCATTGTGTGCTGTAAATAAGCGACATCACTACAAAAATAAATAAACCAACGATGTTCTCTAAGGTTACAACAGGTCTTATAATAATTCCTAAATAAGTGAAACGAAACACGTGTGTATTTTTCTTCGCTGTAGTGCACTGCACTGTGCTTTTCAGAGAGAGACTGGGAGCTGGACATGGACTCCTGCAATTCAGTTTGACCTTTAGCTGACCTGTTGAGATCCAAAAATTTCAGTAGCCTACAATACATTTACATAATATGCCACAATCACACTTACAGCATAAAATTCACATTAGGACAAACAGGGCTGTCCCTAGTTGACGCGGGGCCTGGTACGAGGTAGGGTTCGCGATCGCGTTCCCGGCCCGTTCGCCGCTGGGCCCGGTGCGACCGCACCAGTTGCACCCCCCTAAGGACGGCCCTGACGACAAATGTGTTCTTGGACCAAAAATGTTAATTTGAGAAAGCCACATTAAAGATTATTTTTAATCATTCAATTAAACCAACACTGGGTGTGGAACTGTTATCAAGAGCAACTTCAAAAAGTGATGAGGAACCAACAACCATATGGTTTGAGGAAGGTATTCCCTTCCAATATGCCATTTAAGTAGTTGTACAGAAGCCTAAAACTTATTATTATTTAAAGGGTTAGTTCACCCAAAAATGAAAATTAGCTTGTGTTTTACTCACCCTCGAAGCATCCTAGGTGTATATGACTTTCTTCTTTCAGACGAATCCAGTCGGAGTTATATTAAAAATTGTCCTGGCTATTCCAAGAACCAGTCTCCTCTTGGTTTATATCGAAAGCCTCCGACATTTTTCTTTGCAAATCCTCGGTTTGTACTTCTAATTCTTGACCGGCGTTTTGTTCTCTCTCCGCATTTGTCACTAATCACGCAACGCCGACATGCTGTGTTTCCCACCGGAACTGCTTCAGTGTATGACAGTCAGCGGAAGTGAGAGAAAAGTGTTTATTACATTTGAAATATGAATATTTTTCTTACAAAAACACATGGATTCGCTACAGGGGGCCTTTATTCATCCCCCGGAGCCGTCTGCGGCACGTTTTATTAGGAATACGCGAGCTTTATTTGACGACTTGTGGACTGTTCAACTGCAACACCCGCTGACTGCAATGATAGCGCTTGGAATAGCCAGGACAATTTTGTATATAACGCCGACTGGATTCGTCTGAAAAAAGAAAGTCATATACACCTAGGATGCCTCGAGGGTAAGTAAAACGTAGTCTAATTTTCATTTTTGGGTGAACTAACCCTTTAAGTAATCTCAATCTGATGTCCTACATCTCTATAGAGTTTAGAATATTAGTATGAGACATGAGAGAAGAGAGCCTAGTTAGCAATAGCAAATCATATTCCTATTCTTGTTGAGAGTGGCTCTTTACTATGCACCAGTCCAGTCATAAAAAAACTGGACTTCAGCAAATCTTTTGTTCTGAACAATAACAGAATCATGAAAGAGCTACGGATGGTGAGGTGTGAGATGCAGGATGGAATCTCACCTAGAAACCATTGTGTATAGAGTTCACCTGTTTGAAGCAGTCAGGGGCTTGTGCTTTCTTGTTTTGTGCCCTTTGACTTAATTGTCCTGAGATTTTAGACAAAAGATTAGCACCAAGAGATCCTGTCTTTTGCATTTTTGTGTGGACAATGTAAGACAGAGGAATGTGGAAACAGGTGACGAAACCTTCATGTTTGTGAATGAAAATGTAAGGTGTTATTAGCCATTACGCCATCCTCCAGACCACTTAACACTGAATACACACAGGCAGAAAGGACGTTTCTGTTCTAGACAGTGTGGAACAGCAAAGAAACTGATGTATGTTTAGTGAAACTGATTTGGTTTCTCCACTGAGAGCTTGAATCAACATGAGTCACAGTTTTTAGATATGATTAAATTAGGCCACAGACATCGCTATATATGTCCGCAAGCATATACTGATGATCATATTTGAATTATATGACTGAATTTAAAGGTTTTGGAAAAAGTTTGGGAAAAAAAAGCACTAGGTGGCACTGCACACCAACTGGCCCAAAACTGCAGTTCTCACCAATAGTATCCAGCTGCAGCCCCGCAGACCCACACGTTTCAGGCCACACGATCCAGACCACCCGATCTAGGCCGGAAGTGGTGGGCGGGGTAATTAAATCATAACAACATGGCGGAGAACACGGTAGGACACCTGTAATGTTCTCTCATTATGTGGTGAACTATTAATTCATATATTAAGTTAAACGGTTTCTTGTAAATCTCGATTATTTGCATGTCTTTCACATTTTACTACTGCAGGTTAAAATTGTTGTAATCTTTTATTGTTTTCAGTATTTTTCTGTTGACAGTTCAATTACGTTTTAGATTGGGTGTTGTAAATGGGCTTTGTGATGAAGCCACTTTATGTTTTGAATTTGTTATTTATTAAACAGAGACCCATTATTTAAGTTACGTTTTTACTCACTGAAGACATGGAGACTTTTTTGATTAAGTGTAATGAAAACAGGGGACCAAAATGAGCTCTTCTTGTCATGAGTGATAATAATAATAATAATGATAATAATAATTTCAAAAGTTGATAATTATTTGCTGTTTATTATTTATATTCTACAATTATACATATTATACATTTAAATTATAATTTTAGTTCTATTTTTTGTTGAAATGCTTTTTATTTGAGAAGAACATAGCACTTTTTAATGTTTATTTTAAATTTTAAAATAAAAAAAGTATATTTGACATTAAATGTCCATTCTCTGTGTTCTTAAGCAGCAATGCACAGTTAGAATCACATCATCAAGTTCGCCGATGACACGACAGTGGTGGGTCTCATCAGTAAGAACGACGTGTCAGCAAACAGAGAGGAAGTGCAAATGTTAACAGACTAGTGTAAATTATAATTTTACTTTTTTTTTTTTTTGTTGAAATGCTTTTTGAGAAGAACATAGCACTTTTTAATGTTTATTTTAAAATTTAAAATAAAAAAAGTATATTTGACATTAAATGTCCATTCTCTGTGTTCTTAAGCAGCAATGCACAGTTAGAATCACATCATCAAGTTCGCCGATGACACGACAGTGGTGGGTCTCATCAGTAGGAATGACGTGTCAGCGTACAGAGAGGAAGTGCAAATGTTAACAGACTGGTGCAAAACCAACAGTCTGTCTCTGATTGTGGACAAAACAAAAGAGATGGCTGTGGATTTCAGGAAGACACAGTGCAATCACTCCCTGCTGAACATCAAAAGATCATT